ATGACTTTTAACAACATCCGAAGTACAAGTGGCTTGAAAGATCCGAAAGTTCGTGAAGTCATTTCCGATTGTTAGCAATGAACGATGACCTACGATGAATTGTGGGTGGAAACATCCTTGCACGACAACCTACCAATGTATTCTTTGTTGCGGAGATTGCGTAAAAAATATGCGTTGCGTTTGTCGGCGGTGAGTCGATGCGAATCGCATCCGCTCTTCCGACTTTTGTCGGTGCGACATCCTATTGTCGTGTCCGATATTTTTGATAAAATTATGTCTAACAAAGGGAAGAACGTCAATGGCTTGTTGTTCGATTGTTATACTATATTGAGCGAGTGATTAATGTCCGCGGTCCATACACGTCTCTTCCGATCTCATTTTTGATGTTGTACAACCATTCTTGTTTATCAAATGTTGTGTACCAAAATATATGTAGATCGCAGACCCATGAAACCTTATTTGAAACATAATAAAAAACACAATTTCCGATGTTCCATATGAATGATTTTGTAAACGTTATGCATAACAGAAAATGTCATAACACGTACACAGACCGTGCTCAGGCTAACCCTTTCGCCGGGTCCTGGCGCTTTGTCAGAATTAATAACCCGAAAACATGCCGGCTTTCACGGCTGTTGCTACTTTCCTGATTTTCGGATTGTTTTACGCATAATTAAACTCGCAATCCAATTACATGAAGTAGATTGAAATACTGATAGTGGTAGCAGTACTTACTGATAACAATATCTATAAAATTTCCGACTATAATTTCAACAAACAAAAAAATTGTGTTACAATTGAAATATACATAAGAACTCTAATTAGAATAAAAAATACCTGTCTAAAATAGTAAGTCTAGGAAAAATATGTATGTTTTTTAAATTTATAATATTATTTTCGCTTTTGAACTAATAATAAAGTAGTAGGTAGGTATATACCTACGTGATACGAGTGTAACGGTGTCATTATTCTTTCAATAATATTCCAAGTCATCAACATAATATTTTACAGCTTTTAAAACACCAAACTTTTACTTATATTGGCATCGTTAAATAATGTAAATTGCTTTTAAGTTTAAACACCAAGGGTAAATCAAATTATACACAAGTAAACCGTAAAATCTTTTTAAAGCTAACTATAGGAAATCAATCTTACGGGGTGAATATTGCGATGAATGCTAAAACAACTGTTAGTAGGGTGCGAAGGGAATGATTAGGCAATATCCTCCCTCAGCCCTCCGACCCCTACTGTTACATCTTACTTAACACCCGCGCTATTTGATCGGACATCTGATTTCCACTAACAATATGAACCTTTGCTAATGTTACATAGACTTAATGCTTTAATATTTTATAAGCTATAATATATTTTCTTATGAAAATATATTTTACAGAGTTTAATTTACATCAATATACGTTAATATAAACAGACAATACTTCAAATGATTTTATGGTAGTTAATCAAAATTAACTGTTTCATCAAAGAACTTTCTATTACTGAATAGATACTAGAATATAATTAAATACTGTGTCAACATCTTCCGATCATGTAATTTGATTTTTGTAAATCGGTTGTAGTTTCCTATAAGTACTAATACTTCCCAGCGTTGCACATTATCTTAAGAATGGTTGATCATGTAATATATAGTCATATGATCAAATTTATAGAGATTCTTATATTCTACAAATTCTGTAATCAGAATACTAGTTTCTGATAGCTAGCTGATAGCATATGACGCGTACAAAACATGACCGACTTCACAAATCATATAAACTATAAAACAAAAATACATGCAAGTTTATAACTGAAAGGTAATATCAATCCGACGTTTGGATATTTTTTTGACTGTAATATACCTAATCACTAACGTTTGTAATATAAATCTGAATTCTGCGGCGATTTTAACACCTAAGAGTTGTACTTGGAGGTAGGTATATATTATATATACTGTGCATTTAATTGTAATTCGCTATGTATATGATATCGCCGCGACGCATAAAATTCTGCACCTTAGAAACGATCATCATGATAATGGGTACCTACTCTTCCATTTGTGTTTTATTACGCGAAATGTTTTAGTACCTATTATGCATTTGCGAGTGAAGCTGCGGGCTAGAGCTGGTATATTTATCAATATCTTTTTAAGACCTATCTACTTACCTATCTAGCTAAGCATTGAATTTAAATTTTAATACCAAGCTTATGTATCTCAGATATTAAAAGGATCAATCACTGCGGCTTTGCGGTGTCACCCTTTTCTCGCTTAATTAGACAGTCATTGTTACAGACTGTTTATTGTTTAATTTTTAAAATAGGATTTTCTTTTGGGACAACTGTTAATGTTCAGTTTCATGTCAGTTTCATATAATGTTGTTTTCTCAACATTATATGAAAAATATCTAAGAAAATGTTTTATGTATAGTTTATCAAAAGAAATCAACGAACAAATTTATAAATCGCGTAAGCAATTTTGCTTTTTGTCTTACGTAAATTTTTTGGAAATTGATTATATTATGTCCAATAAAATTTTTTTTAACGCAAATAAATTTACAAAAGTGTTATTTATTAGCAAAGGGTATTCAATTTTAATAAAGTTAGCCCGCGTAATACAAGTCAATAAGCTCGTAGGGCAGGACATAGATCGGGATTTGTTAAACCCGGGCATGTATACGCATACTACGAGGGTACTAGCTCTGAGTATGGTACAAATAATAAGCTTTTTCGACTGATTGATTGATTAATATATTAATTTTGGATCGACTCTATATGCTATGAAAAATAAATAGTAGAGTTTAGGTACTAATTAAATATATTATAATTATATAATATCATTATCATGTCATAAACCAGATTTTTATTATAAAAATATACATATTAAACTATTTATTCCTGTCACAAAAGAGTATATTTTTTAATTTTAAAACCTTGTTACTCTTGCGTCTTTCGCCATCGTCAAAAAGTGCAGGGGCGGCTGCAATACAACAATCAAAGTGTAATGGTGGTTTTAATATTGTCGACGATTTATAAGGATAAGTCAGATAGAGTAAATATTAAATTTGTTAGCGATACTTGCAGATTAAGTAGGAGGGACCTCTCGTGGCTCCCAAGGGCTGTTCGGAACGAATTTAATTCTTTATTTGTTTGTTTATGTACAAATTTTTCTTTATACTAACATTAAGTACTAAGTCATTGCTATTTGTTATATATTCATATTGAAAAGATTTTCTATAGTTACACGTGTTTTATATTAACTTCACTTGAATATAGGTGCTTGCACTTAACTTAAAATATTTAAAAAAATAAAAATACTTCATGGTCCTTTTTTGTTTAGAGAATATTACCTATATTAAGTAAAAAAAAGTATGTACTTATATATTCAGCCCTTTTAACGTCCCACTGCTGGGCACGGGCCTCCATCCAATACGAGGTGGGTCAGGCCATAGTCCACCATGCTAGCCAAGTGCGGGTTGGCGGACATCACGTGTCTTTCGAAAACTCGCTAGGTTCTCTCGGATATGCAGGTTTCCTCACGATAACTTTTTAGAAAATGATCATTTTTCAAAGAAAAGTACAAAATCTAAAATAATCAAATTCAGTGACTGGTAAGTTAATAATTTAGTCAGTCATAGGTAATTTTTTCCTATATATTGAGTTATTCGTAATATTATGAGATATAAAAGAGTCTTTACCGAATCATTCGCCCCGCCTAAACTATACTCAAAGTAAATAGCAAGACCAGTGAGCACTGAAACAGTAATTATTATTCCTCTAATACATAATTATTGTGAAAAAATAGTTTTTAGATTTAAGTTACCTTACAATTTAAATATATTAATAAAGAAACTAGAACAGATAATAAAAACTACATAAATAAGTTTCACGTATGAAGTTACTTTCTAAGATTCTTACACAACCTTATCAGTTACTCTTTTTAAAAATTAAAATTAGTGTATAAAATCTACATATAGTATTATCTTTAAATAATATTTAATGATCAATTCTTGTATATATATATACTACGTGTATCTCGAAAACTACACTCACGATGTGGATCAAATTTTGTATTATTTACTTAATTTTAAATACATCATAGGTATATGTAACTTATTGCAAAGGTCAGGTGAGAAAGCAAATTGCATTATCGGAGTGGTAACCACACCATCCATTCTCATTAGCCAGGCAGTCCCGAACTGGCTGATTGCCTGCCGTCATAAAATTAAGTGCTTTCAACTAATATTACTGTACAACGTAAATTAACTGTGTCATCATAACACTTACGAGTATACCTACATGCTTCTTTAAATATTTCGATATACATATATAAATGCAACTGCGTTGTGTGCCTTAATTTGAATGTAAACAAGAATTACAGAATAAAGACGTCAATATCATCAGTGTGCAGCTGAAATAATCTTTTAATAAACTAGTTATCAAACTGCATAGGAATAATTAATGATATGTATTACGATTTTATTAAATTAAAAAAAAATTAAGCATATAAGGACATTTGAATGAAATACAGTTTAATTTTACCTACGCTTTTAGAGCAATTTTACATTAATAAAAAATCTAAAAATAACTAGCAGTAAAATTTAAATCATAGAAAACCCCACATTTTTGGCATTTGAATTCCCCAACTGAAGTACGTCTATACATATAATAAAAGTGTAACCGATCGCTGTGTGTACATGGAAGATATTTGAGTAAAACTATCATTGAGGGTATTTATTCACGCAATAGAACTGAAAACAATAATTTATTAAATACTTTTTCTGTTCGTCTGTTTTCACTAATTTAATGTGGTAAGCTTCACTTAGTATTTAGTATTTGTTTTAATTTAATCGGTTCATAAATAAAAAAGTTACGTCAAGTTAAAGAATCAGCTAGGTTGATGAGTCGCTAGTTCCTCTATAAAATGATCGATGTACAAATTTTATGATAACATATATATTTATCATTTAATATATATTACAATTAAACTATTAACTAACTAATAACTATTCAGTAAATTTAAACGTGTTGCAGTTGATATGAGCTGGTATATTTTCATTTTGAACATCTAATAACAAGGTGCAAACATTATCAGGAAGACAGGTCAATGGAAATAAGTTGCATCGTAAGGCGTCGTAAGTATTCCCTGTACATAGGGAGATACATAAATCTTGCCATATTGCCTCCTAGGAACAACTAACCCTTGGCTGCCTCGTTATTGACTCTCACTCCCGCCTTCTGACCCTTTCGCTCTCATGTCGAAAGCTTGGAGTGTGAAGCTTCCCTTCTCTCTCTGATTTCAATTTACTCGAGACAGATTTTCAGGGCTTTGTAAGATCAGTGTGTAGCGTATGGAAAAAACTGAGATTACACTGTAAAAATCGTGCACCTACTTTATTCTTAATTAAACCATAGCAGATGAAGTTTAGCTACTCTTAATAATATTTAAGTAAAAAAATGTAGGTAATTAAATATGTTGTTGCAGTCAGTCACTTTAGTTTCATCTAACAAAGAAATATGAACCAGATTTCTTAAATGTATGTATATCAGTATGTATATCCATTCATTGTTGTTATTTATTTAATAAATCTGTAGTAAAGAGTAATACTCATGTAACCCAAATTTTATATAATCATTCTAAGTTCCGTGATAACTATATATAGAACGTGATAACTATGATAGAATAACTATAATAAAGTAGGTATACAGAGATTCAATATATACTTGGTATATGTTAAGTTTAATGTAAATATTTTACACATACTGCTATCTCTGACTTGCTAAGTAATAGCGACGACAGCTTTTTGTTTCAGCGAGGGTGTATGTAATACCTTCTTGCGATACATAAATTTATATGTTAAATAGGGAATATACTAACGTAGCTCTTTTTGTACGATAGAGAATAAATTTATATGTACAATATTGAACTAAAAAATGTTGCACGCTTTATCTCAAAGCATCGAACACAAACATCATCGGATACTGATCGATCGAAAAGTAAGAGTCTTCCGACAATACTTTTATTTTCTAGTGATAATTTTTAAAGACATTTTTATGCCACAACAATGGTCTTATAGTCATCATATGTATAGACAATTTTATATGATAATTATCAGAACGAAATATTTTGTTATTATTATAGCCAAAATGTTAGGTTACATTAACTAAACCTAATCAAGGGTGTGGATAATATGGGTTATTTTTTTTTTGGTTATATTAATATAATACAAAACTCATAAAGTGCAAAATATAGTTATGCCTTTAGCATAGTGGGTCATTTTTCATAAATTTAATTTTAAAAGTAAACTAAATTTTAAAAAAATGCAACATAGTTGATTGTTTCAAGTTGAGTGGTAAAATCGGTCAAAAATGAATCTCACTCCTGAAAGAAGTAAAATAGCTTAATAAATTTGGTATTAATTATTCATAATTCGGATCATTTTTATGCTTTAGTTTTGCACATGATAAGAACAAAATCTTAATATTGGTTTCCATCCCACTGTCCACCTTACAAGGCTCCTTTCTTGTATTCCTAGAAATAAATATGGATTTTAGTGCCATGAGTATCAGTCAGTTTCGCTTAAAAATATGTATTACTGATTTCATGCCACCAGATTAATATGTTTTTTTTTACGGAAACTATTTTACTGAATACTTTAAAAGAAGCTATTCGAGTAATTTATGATCTTTGGAAAAGGGAAAAATGACAAGTCAATCAGACCAATATTCTACGTTTTCTTTCCAAGCTATTGATATAGGTATATGTTACGAAAATGGAAAGATAATACATAGATAGTTCTTGAGTAACCTATGAATGAATTTTTGGTAAAAAAATATTGTCAAATAGATTGGATAGAATACAATGGGCAACATGTTGTATAAAATTGAAATATAGAGTGGTAAGAATCCAAGTTTTAAAAGTGGGTGTGATCTTTAGTGCTGACCGCAAATGCTTGAATTAATATATTTCACAATTTTCTTGATGATTTACATTTCAACGACGTCAGCACTGCAAATATTTTTTGGCAGAATAAACAGTTGAATAAATAGATATCTAAAAAATAATTGATGCTTTTGTTTACATTGGATTTAAAGTATGTACTTTTATTTATTAACAAATTATTTCTCTTCTTATATTAATAAATGATTCTTATGAAAGAAATTCTTTTGCACTACTAATTAAAAAAAAACTTTGCGTGAGTTTCAAACTATCAATACTTTTAACTATTTTAATCTTATAATAATAATCATTGTGGCTTAAACTAAATACATGTACTATACTTAATAAACTTAAAATAAAAATTATACACTTTTTCTAAATTTGTAAATATTTTTATAGTGTATATTATAATAATTTTTGTAAAAGGTACATATCATAGAATGGAAAACAAAAATTAGGGAAACTTAAGTTTAATAAAACATTTGATATACGATTCCATAAATTTCGTTTCTTAGACGATTTGCTTATTTTCATTGAAGTCCACTAGGTGCTTACGCGCAGAGTGTGCGGTCGCCATTCAAGAAGCATCCCTCATTGTCCTTTTGTCCGTCTGTCAGTGGCATCCCAAACATTTATTCTCTCTAGGTAGTTGAAAAAAATCAATGTTTACCTTTATACTCGAGCACATATTTTTATACAAAGTGAGCTTCTATAATAAGCAGCGTTTACAGAGTAACGCTTGTCCACAATGGCATAATGTGGGCTGGAATTAAAGGTGTGATAAATGGACGCAACTAACATGGCTAATGACACAGCATGTGAAACGTGAAAGTTTTCTATTAATATAAATAAAATACTGATATTTAAGGCCATTATATTTTATAGAATAGATTAATTTAAAGCGTCTAAAGAAAAGTCTTAATTAATAAATTATGTAGAATGTTTGTATTATTGGGGTCAAGTTGCATGAGACAAAATAGATGAAGCAGATTCATATTTTCCAATGATTTCTTTTGGTATGCAAGAAAATAGTAAAGCTTAAAAATAAATTGACCGTCAATAAACGAGAACATTGTGTATTAAGGCGAAGGTCGATAAATGTTGGCACACCGTTCGCCATTTGCTATTCAGCGCAAAGATATTGAAACAAGTTACAATTCTGTAACTATATATTTTATTACAATTATTTTGCACTGCTTTAGACAGCATTTAGTATTAATAAGTGTATATTTTGATTACTTGCTAAAGCTGTTTTTGGCAAAGAGACGTGAAATGCTTTACGTTGATGATATCTTGTATTGCATTTACGGGACAGTAATGTTAGCATTTATTACATTTTAATATTACCTAACATTAATCTTGTGTGAAGTCGAAAACATAAAAATAATCTCTTTATTATTTAAGTACCTTTTTTAAACAAACTCACCAACATTTAGCAAAATTACGAGATTACTTAAAGACATAACAGTCGTAATAAAATACTTTCTGGCGGCTTCACATCCGCGGGCCACTACGCACTCACTGGGTGGTCAGCTCATTCATATATTTCGAAAAATATAAACAGCCGACCACAACGTAGTAACCGGACGTTTCCGTGCGGATATCGGAACAATCAGTTTAAGTGAGAATGAATGAAAGCATTAAAATGTGAGTTATCTATGGAAACACTCTTACAAAAGCATAAATTTTATTTCATTTCGCGATTCTAATGAATTCTTTAATATTTGAGAAAAAATAAAAAAGTAACTTGCGTTATTTATTTTTAATTCAACTTATTCGGTAGGTATACGACGCGATAACAAGAGCATATTTTTTGAGCCGCTTGTGATGGGTCTGTTCTATTAAAATATAAATAACTATAAATAATGATGTTTAAATATGTAAATGCTCAATTTCATGAAAATCTAAAATTACAGCTATTTTTTAATAATGAACTATAATAATTTTCATATAATAATTAACTGATTTTATTTCTAAAGTGATACTAAAAACTATAATCTCACAGTAATAAGAGCCTGATGAATTATTCAATTCATATTCTCAATATAACTTTACAAAGGGATGAAACAAGTGTTGAAGTTGTCACTTCATAAACTAAAATAATAACTGTCTCACCGTGGGAACTCACTCGCCAACGCATTCGCATCCAACCATTACCTGACTTAAGATTTTTTTGCGTTGTAAAACACTCGTAGCACTAAATAGGTGTCCATTGAAAAGTACTTTGGAGTCTGCTTTTGATCCCTTTCAATGGTCAACAAATTATTCATCTTAAGACTTCAAACTTGAAAGCCATATAGAAATCAAAAACAATCGAGACGATTTAGAGTCTAACAGATTTGCTCTTCTATTCGCTATGTCAAATAATAGTATAATTGGGAATTTAATACTAAATAGTAGTTAAAGGTTAGAATAAAAGTAGAATATAAAATATATACAATTATAGAATATATACAATTCAAAACAATATAAAAGGAAGTTGAATCACACAATTAAAAATTGCGCTTTTCATTCATATCCATTTATTTATAAAATTATTAATATTATACTATGGAAATATTTGGTGTGTTACTTGTGTATTCAGCCCTTTTTTTTTTAACGTCCCACTGCTGGGTACGGGCCTCCCTTAGTACGAGGGGGATCAGGCCATAGTCCACCACGCCGGCCAAGTGCGGGTTGGTGGACTTCACATGTCTTTCGAAGACTTGCTACGTTCTCTCAAACATGCAGGTTTCCTCACGATGTTTTCCTTCACCGTAAGACAAGTGGTAATCATGTTAGAAATGATTCGCACATGTAAATATCAGAGGTGCGAGACCCGGGATTTGAACCCACTTCACTCGGTTTCCCAAGCGAGCGCGTTACCACTGGGCTACCACTGCCTTGTTGTGTTGTGTGTGTGTGAAGTGTGTTACTTGTGTGAAAATATTTCAATATATGCCTAAATTGCAATGTAGGTGATTAATTGAAAGGCCAGTTGTAATAATTTAACTTTGACAATTAGAAATACCTAAGCAACTTCCTAAAATTAAAATTAAAAAAGTTCTTACTCAAGCTAATCCATAGCAGTTAGCAGCACAAAATTTCGACTGCAAAAAAAATATGAATGAATGCGTAAAATATGAGACGGCCAGCGTAAACAAAAAACTACCTGCGAGTGGCCATAGTACGAACATACCGAGTTGTAGATATTACGAATGAAAGGC